TGCTTAGACAGTGGCTTCTTCTTGCCTTTTACGATCTCTAATAGAGAAGAATGGGTGTTTCAAAGGCACTAGGGACTTGTCAAAAGCTTCTCCCTTTTCATTTTCCTAGGAGGCTTCTTTTTACGTCTGTGCACAAAAAGCTGATACTATATATGACTAAGAATTTAACTATTAAATATGATTAAGAATTTTGCTTGGGGAGTTCTGTATTGTAGTTAAGATTGACTAGAGGAAACCTTTCTTTTAAAGCCACTAGTAAACTCCTTCACTGTGGTAGACACTCCTGGCTGCCTATGCAACATCATTCCCATACTTCTTCCTGGCTAACACTCATTTTGTTCCAGTATTGGTGGCCAGGGGCTTTTGGAAGGGCTGGCCTTTCCTGGCACCGGGGGTGAATTTTGATTAGTTTAAGAAGGTAACCGAGGTGTAGCAGGATGCTAAGTACTTTTTTTTTCCATGAGTTTCATGATTTCACTCAGGTTCTAAAACTGAGGACAAAGAGTGTGCAGGGACAATATATTCTGAAGAGAGGTTGTAGATCACCTACGAAGAATTTCAAATGACTGGTATTGAAGACAAATCCGGTGACTCTGAATCCATACTCACATCAAGAGTACGTGAGAAGAAATAAGGATACGTTCAGAGAGAAGATTTATTGAAGTGTATTAGTCTTCTAGGGCTACCATAACTATAGAGCACAGACTAGGTGGCTTAAGCAACAGGATTTTCTTTTCTCATAGTTCTGGAGGCTAAAAGTCCAAGATAAAGGTGCTAGCAGCGTTGATTTGGGGTGAGGTCTCTCTTCCTGGCTTGTAGATGGCTGCCTTCCTGCTGTCTCTCCACATGGCCTTTTCTCTCTGTGCATGTGGAGAGAGAAAGCTCTCTGGTGTCTTTTCCTCTTCTTGGGACACCAATATTATTAGATTAGGACCCCCTCCCCCCCCCCCATGACCTTATTTAACCTTAATTACCTTCCCAAAGTCCCCATCTCCAAATACCATCAAATTGGGGGTTAGGGCTTTAAATTATGAATTTGGGGAGGACATAAGTTAGCCCATAACAGGAGGGTTACTGGAGGTGTACTTATGCTCACCTCAAGCTGGGTGAGTAGAGGACTTGAGCAAACTACTCACAGAGCATGGGGGTGTATTCCAGGAGGAGAAATGGAGCTATAAAAGTCACAGAGGCCCTATGCAGCCAAGCGATCAACACAGAGTACAGGGAGATAGATCCTGTGAGAACCTAATATGGTCCCCCTTGATTTGGGAAGCCAGGGACTTCAGGTGAGAGTCTCATTGGAGCTACCAGTAAAGTGAATAGAAAAGGTTTCAGTGGATACAAGTTGTTTCCGGTTGAATCAATCAATCAATCTATCTATCTATCTATCAATCATCTATCTATATATCTATACCTTACTTTGGTGACATCATTGACTATTGGTAGTGAAGGACCCTGGCACTCATATCTGTAAGTATACCTGATTTAGTTCTGGGAAATGTCTTTTTAAAGACAGAATCTAATAGAGAAAACATAAAAGAAAATTCTGACAGCCCTGGGCACACAAAAACGTAAAACTCTGAAAGTCAGTATCAATGATGAATCATATGCAATATGAAATTGCAACATAAGAAAACCAAAAGGTTAGTATCTTTAATAAACCTTCCTTGAAATGTTCGAAAGACAGCCAAAGTTGATTCACAAAAGAAGAAATATAAGAAAGCAATAAATATATGAAAATATGTTTAAACTTAGGAGTAAGCATTTTCTACTCTGCAGGTGGGAGTACAAATTGGTCAAACCAATTTAGCAATGGGTATCAAAATATGTCTTCTTTGATCCAGTATCTCCAATAATAGCATTTTGTCCAAAACAAATGATTGGAGATGCATGCAAAGAAATCTCTGAAGGAATGTTCATACTTGTTATTTATATTGATGGAAAATTAGAAACAACTTATATTTCCACAAAATATTTATGTGGTGAAATACTATGCAGCTGTTAACAATCATATTTTAATGAGCTGGGAATAGTCTTGTGATATAATGTTGTTAAAAAATAAAAGGACACACATAGAACACAAAAAGCACTACCCATAAGAGAGAAAAGTAGTAAATTGGACTTCATCAAAATCAAGACATTATTCTCACTCTCCTTAAAATAAAAGTTGTTAGAAAAATAAAAAGGCAAACCATAGACTGGGAGAAAATAACCACAATACATATATCTGACAATTGCTACAACTCAATAATGAAAAGAAAACTAACTTAATAAAAAATAGGCAAAAGACTTGACACTTCTTAAAAGAAGATCTAGGAATGGCCAATACACACCTGAGAAGGGGCTCTACATCAGTAGTCATCAGGGAAATGCAAGTTATAACCACAATGAGATGCCACTATACACCCACTGGAGTGGCTAAAATTAAAATGAATGATAATGCCAAATACTGACAAAGATATAGAACTAGTAGAACTCTCATACACTGTTGGTAAGAGTATAAAATTGTACAACTATTTTGGAAAACTGACAGTTGCTTATAAAGCTAAATATATACCTCCTCTATGATCCAGCAACTCCATTCCTAAAAATTACTGAAGAGAAACAAAATCATATGTCTACAAAAAGACATGTACAAGAATATTCTTAGAAACTTTACTCATAATAACCCAAAACTGGAAGCATAGCAAATGCTCACCAACAGGAAAATGGATGAACAACTTGTGATATGTATCCATAAAATAGAATATTATTCAACAGTAAAAGGAAATGATCTACTGATAAAAGCAACAAACTGGATGAATCTCAAAAATACTAAATTGAGCAAAAGAATTCAGACACAAAAAGAACATAAGTATGAGTCCATATATGTGAATTTCAAGAGCTGGCAAAATAAATCTATGGTGATAGAGATGGGAATAATGATTGTCTCTGTGTGGGAAGGGCAATAGACTTGGAAAGAGTATGAGGAAACTTTCAGAATGATGGAATCGTTCTCTTGATTGAAGTGGAGATTATATGGGCTTATAAAATTGTCAAAACCCATTGAACTGTATGCTTAAAATAAATACAAATCACTGTTTGTAAATTATAACTCAATTTTTAAAAAAGGATTCAAAACTGTGCAGTCTGGATAGGCAAGTACAATGGGCAAGGAGTTCTCAAATTTTCCTTTAGCTGAGATCCCACAGAAAGAGACCATTCTCTAATTGACTTTGTGGATATTTCTTCGTAGTGGAGATGGAAGCATAGACTGATGATTTTGATTTTCCAGTGACCATCCCATCCACCTAGCTCCTGTTGCACTGACTATATGCTCGCTGAGAATATTCTTATTGTAGTGGTTGTTTCCCCATGTAGATGTTCTTGTTGGGGAGAGAAGCTGCAGATAGGTATTAGGCTGCTAGGTTTCTAGTTACAGACTGACAAATGGGTATTCTGCTTAATATATTAGTCAGCATCAATGGATTCTCCTTATGAAGATCACCTTCAGTTGACCTTTTATCCTGATCCTGCAGTATCCCTGGCTCAGGTGGCCACCTACTGAGGCCCTACTGGGACATACACAGACCTTTTCTAAAAAAATCAGTGCTCTCTCTGCTCTACAGCTTTGTGAAATAGTGGTTTGATTGTGGTGTACACATGCCTTCTCATGTCTTTAATCTCCTTGAGAGGGTCTGGTTTGTTATATATCAGAATCAGGTCCATCTCAGTTCTGATGCTGATTTTAAATTTAAGCAGGATCCAGAGCAGGTAAAGTGCTGTATGGGTTGGAGAACGCTTGCTTCCAATTTGAAATTTATTATATTTTTGACACTAAGTGCCCTTTTCATCAGCGTTAAAGGCCTAACGTTTTTGTTGTTCACCGACATCTCACTATAATTGGTGCCCACTGTATTCATGGAAATAAAGGAGATGCTGTTAAAGTGGTGACGGTTAACGGGAAGACGAGGTCACTGCTTTGATTGGAAGAATGAAAACAGGGGAAGCTACTACTCCAGAGAGGCAGAGGGGCACTCTTTCCATTTATTTTCCAACTGTAATTTAAAAAAAATTGCCCCAAGAAGAATCAAAAGAGAAATTAATTTATTATTGCTTTCAGATAACCTGGTAATTTACCACTAAATGAATAGAAATTAAGAACAGCATAAATATCAATAAAAAATAGGTTTGGTAAAAATTGCTTTGTGAGAAAGGAAATTCTGTGATTCATCCGAAACTCAACTCACCAGATTCATAGCATGGTGTAATCCTTGTCTATTACATATTATTCTGTGCAACTGAACTTATGAGATCTTTTTCTTTGTCCTTTAAGACGAACCATGCAGCTCAGACACTATTTTATTCTTAGAGCTTACAGATCATATATTAAAAGATCATAAAATATTTACAAGTGTAAAACATGTAATTCTATCTGTAGGTATGAGGAAAAAAGAGCATTTAATATGATTTTAAAGGTGCTCTATAGGAGAATTTTTAAATATAGTAGACACAGACAGAAGCTGCTCCAAATTGAAAAGATATTTTATGATTATGCAAATATATACATAAATTTGGATTATAGAAAAGTTTTTTTCCATGAAATTTAGAAAATACTGAATGACTATAAGAAAATAAAAAACATCTTGAAATCAATATCCAGATAGAAGTATTGCAAACATTTTAGTGAATTATCCTTGTCTATTTTTTCAGTTTAGAAGTCTTTTTTCATTTAATATTATATAGTGGCATTATCAAATGACATAAATATAATTCAAAACATTTAAAAACATTATTTCGATGTTTCAATGGAAGCGATTTTGATCACGGGTTGGTTGAATCCAAGGATGTGGAGGGCCGATAGTATTCATTGTACTACACCATTTTATATAAGAAACTTGACCGTCCGTGGATTTTGGTATCCACCAGGATTCCTGGAACAAAACCGCTGCGGATACTGAGGGATGACTACCTAAGGCGTCAGGATGACGTCATCAAATGGCGACATAGGTCGTTCCTGACTTCAGTTCTCCTCACAAGAAGACTAGCACTATCCGTAGACAAGACAGCATTGTGATGATTTTAGAACCTGGGAACGCGGCTGAAGCACCCTCCTGGACCACAGATACTGAGGAGGACCACAATAGAACTGTAAGAAGAGCGCCTACACTGACCGCACCTTCTGCCCTCGGGGCTGCACAAAATCCACTGGAGACCTACGGTTTCTCCAGTGGGAAAAGAGACAAGGTGAACATCGAGCTTCCCCAGTCTTGAGGGATGCTTCCCAGGAGGGTCACTAGAGTCTCGCCTAATGAGTATCGCTGTGGGACTCTGTGGGGTTCTACCACCGGGAATCAAATGGAGACAGAGAAGGAGGCGGGGCTTACAACAGCCAGTACTCAGAACTCGGGGGACCGCGTGCCTGATTGTAGTGGCGGCAGGCAGAGATTCCAGCCAGTGGCTCTGCCCGTCCGCAGAGCCAAGTCAGTGACCCCATCTGGCCAGGCTGCTCGGTTGGCAGTTCTGCCAGATTTGGGTTCCCATAAAATGGGCTATACTCGCCAGTGGAGCCTGGTCTACCACCCCGCCCAGGAAGGGAGGCAAATTCGCAGCCCCGTCCAACTGTGGAGCATAGGTTCCAGTGACGTCGATTCCAGGAGCCTGGCCAGGGAACTAGGGCAGCCCTGGAGCCCATTCTGCAGCCCCGCTTGGGCAGGGAGCCAAGCCAGCAGCCCTGCCCCAACTGTTGAGCATAGTTTCTGGCCTCGCATAACCAGGGAGCCTGAACAGTAACCCTGGGCAAACTCAGAGCCCAGCCCAGGGCACCACAGAGCTGGGGAGCCCAGCCTACAGCCCTGACCAGCAGCAGAGCAGCTTACCGCCTGCTGGATTGCTGAATAGTCTGAGGCCTCACCAGGCAGGGAGGCCAGCCAGTGACCTTGCCCAATCGTGGAGCTTAGCCTGTGGCTAAACCCAAAAAAGGAGCCTGGACAGCGACCCCACGAGACCATAGGGCACAGTCTCCAGCCCAACTTCCAGATACAGCTGGAGGCTCCTCTGGACTGGTGAGCCAGGCCAGAGAACTTGCCCAGCAGCAGAGCACAGGCAGGGGTCTATAGGACCTTGAACCCCCACCTACAGCTCAGTCCAACTCCTGGGTATAGCCTGTAGCCCCACCTGATTGCACAGCACAGCCTGAGGCCCTGCCTGTGGCCCCACATGAATCTGGAGTTCAGCCTGCAGCACCATTTGGTCGGGGAACACAGCCTGAGAACCCACCCGGCCAGCAGTGATTGTGGAGCCCAGCTCATAGCCCTGCCCAATCACGGAGTCCAACCAGTGGTACCCTCCTGCCAGGGAACACAGCCTGTGACCTGGTCCAACCAGAGGTGATTGCAGAGCCCAGCTAGTGGCCCTACTTGTCTTCAGAACACAGCCAGCAACCCCACCTGACCAGGGAGCTCACTGTGCGCCCCACTTGAGCCTGGAGCCCAGTCAGCAGGCCCACCCAAGTTTGGAGGCCAGCCAGAGGCACTCCCCAACCTCAGAGCATGGGCGGTTGCCTCACCCAACTAGAGACCCTGTTATTTTATATATATATATCATATGTACATATACAAAATTATTCACAAAGGTTAAATATAAAAAGTTAAAGCATTTCTAGAAAACAATTTTTTTTTTATTAATGTTATGATAGATTACAACCTTGTGAGATTTCAGTTGTACATTTTTGTTAGTCATGTTGTGGGTACACCACTTCCCCCTCTGTGCCCTCCCCCCACCCCCCCTTTTCCCTGGTAACCACCGATCAGATCTCCTTATCAGTATACTAATTTCCACCTATGAGTGGAGTCATATAGAGTTCGTCTTTCTCTGACTGGCTTATTTCGCTTAACATAATACCCTCGAGGTCCATCCACGTTGTTGTGAATGGGCCAATTTTGTCTTTTTTTATGGCTGAGTAGTATTCCATTGTGTATATATACCACATCTTCTTTATCCAATCATCAGTTTCTGGGCATGTAGGCTGGTTCCACGTCTTGGCTATTGTAAATAATGCTGCGATGAACATAGGGGTGCAACGGACTCTTGAGATTTCTGATATCAGGTTCTTAGGATAGATACCCAGTAATGGGATGGCTGGGTCATAGGTATTTCTATTTTTAACTTTTTGAGAAATCTCCATACTGTTTTCCATAGTGGCTGTACCAGTTTGCATTCCCACCAACAGTGTATGAGGGTTCCTTTTTCTCCACAACCTCTCCAACATTTGTCACTCTTGGTTTTGGATGTTTTTGCATCTAACGGGTGTAAGGTGATATCTTAGTGTAGTTTTGATTTGCATTTCCCTGATGATTAGCGATGATGAACATCTTTTCATGTGTCTATTGGCCATATTCATATCTTCTTTTGAGAAATGTCTGTTCATGTCCTCTGCCCATTTTTTGATCGGGTTGTTTGTTTTTTTGTTGTTAAGCAGTGTGAGTTCTTTGTATATTATGGAGATTAACCCTTTGTCGGATAAGTGACTTGTAAATATTTTTTCCCAATTAGTGAGCTGTTTTTTTGTTTCAATCCTGTTTTCCCTTGCCTTGAAGAAGCTCTTTAGTCTGATGAAGTCCCATTTATTTATTCTTTCTATTGTTTCCCTCAACTGAGGAGTTACAGTGTCCGAAAAGATTCTTTTGAAACTGATGTCAAAGAGTGTACTGCCTATATTCTCTTCCAAAAGACTTATTGTCTCAGGCCTAATCTTTAGGTCTTTGATCCATTTTGAGTTTATTTTGGTGTGTGGTGAAAAAGACTGGTCAATTTTCAATCTTTTGCATGTGGCTGTCCAGTTTTCCCAGAACCATTTGTTGAAGAGACTTTCTTTTCTCCATTGTAGGCCCTCTGCTCCTTTATCGAAGATTAGCTGTCCATAGATGTGTGGTTTTATCTCTGGGCTTTCAATTCTGTCTAGAAAACAATTTTTAATTAATTATTTTAAAATTTTTCTTCTGACTCAGGCAGGAATTTACTTTAATAAAATAGTCAGAGATACATGTATACAGAAATTTAGGTACAAAATTATTTATTACAGGACTATTTGCCATAGTGAGAATCTGAAAAAATGTAAAGTCTCTTGAGGAAGAAGGTAAAATAAATCACGACATAGTTAAACGATGGATTAATAGGTAGTCATTTGTTATTTTTTTCCAACTTTATTGAGATAAAGTTGAGATATAAATTCTGAGTTTAGGGTGTAAACATGATGATTTGAAATACATATATATTGCAAAATCGTTACCACAATAAGATTAGTGAACACATCCATCCCCATAGTTACAATTTATTTGTGTGTGTGGTAAGAGCTTTAAGATTTCTCTCTTGGCAACTTTATTCTCTATAACATTATCTTTTCTTTCATCACTGTATTCTCTTACCTTTTTTTTAAACTTTTAAGCAAATTTTGAACTTGTCTCTTACTTCACTAATTTGCTTTATTTATGGTGGTCGATTTTATATTTTCTGCTTTCATGCAGTTTTAAATTTTCCACTAAATTGTTCCATGTATATGCAGTTTTATGTGATTTCAGATATAGGTATGTCTTTTGTAATGACCATCTGATATGGTTTCATGGACACAATGTTTTCTTGAATCTTGTTGAAAACTCAAAACGTTTTAAAAATATATTATCTATACTAAGTCAAATAGTTCCTTGAATTCCTTAGCCAGGAAATCATTAGTTCTGATTCTGTAGAGTGATCTCTCATTTGAACTGTATTATATACCCATCAGTTTTTTATTTCTTTATTTGTCCTTAAAGGAAGAAGTCTACATTGGTACGTACTGGAAGATGAAGTGAGTTTGGTAAGAAATCCATGTTTCTGAATATTTCATGCCCAGATGAAAACGAAGGTGAAATTTCACACTGACAATTAATTTTGTAAGTCAGAAATCCAGCAGTTGAGGTGTGTGCATGATGCAGGGAGATAAGACATTGGAGCCAGAGTAGTCAGGTATAGTTCAGTAGAGAGCCTTTTCTCTGTCTAGAAGAGTTTCTGTCCGTTTTGCTTGGCAACCAGTAGTTAGGAACATGTAGTCAAATATATGCCTGGAGATTGTGCGGCTCAGATGCCCCTCCCAGTTTAGCCCTAAGGCCAAGAAGTTCTTTCACAGCTTCTAATAAACTCTGGTTGCCCTTTTCATTTCAACTGCTTCAGCTCTCCTTGTAGGGGCAGTAAGGTGGTTATCCTAGGGTCTCATTCTCCCACCCCCTGGACTTATTAGTCTTCCTTCACCAGGACGTCAGGGAGGACATGATTTAGTCCTTCTTCCATAGTCCCATCTATGATATATCTAGTAGAAATTCTAGTTGAAAGTCCAGAAAGTTTTGACATGTAGATGACATCCTTCTGTAATTTCCATTCCTTATGCTTTATTTTCCTATTTTTATATTCTATTTCTCACTTTGTGGATTGAGGGGGTTAGGAGATGTCATATTCTTTGTCACAATCACATTGTGGATTAGGTTTCAACGCATGAATTTTAGGGGGTCGTAAACCTCCAGTTCATTGAAGAATTCATCTGCTTAAAGTGGAAAATCTAAAACAACAGCAGCAGCAAAAACCCAATCAGTTTTGAGCTATGTAAGAACATTTTTAGCTTTAATTTGCTATGTCTAAAATAATGTAAATTTAGAAGTAGTTTGAAATGAGAGAAACGTTATTACCAAGTCATGTTTACCTTATATACATGACTATGCTTGATTCAGTTAAAAATTTGTTTTGATTTGTGAATTCATTTCTATGAAAACATCTTTCAAAGTCATCAACGTTAAATAACGTTTAGTTATAAGTTTAACAAGTTTATTGAAAAGACTACAATAATGTGAAGTTGAGAATGTTGGGTCACAGTGCATCTAAGGATAAATCCATTTTCCCTCCTGATCAGTATCATGGGAACATTTCTAACTTAAAGTATTTTCTTTGTTGTAGTCAAGTGTTGTAGAAAATTACACATAGGGATCCTGGATTTGTTAACTGAGAAATACCAAGTTCCTCAGTGTTTTAAACCAATAGGGCAGCTATTCTTTAAATAAGCTACTTCTTGAATGTGGGTAAAATGTCTGCCAGAGTTTCTGGGTGTTTGTGTGTGGGGTGTCATTGAATTACTTGCCCAGACCCCTGTCATGCATGACCATGGTGGTTTGCTGAAAATCAAGAGGAGAAGACATAATATTCCTTGTTAACCAACAGTTTCCCTTAGTTTGGGCTGAGGCCAGCTTGCAGCTGTTTCAAGGACGTTACTCCTTAAACAGATGTTCTGTCTCTTCTACTTATTGCTTTGTTTGTATATTTTATAAAATGTTATACAACTCACCTAAGAAGTTTGTGGATAAACCAGAAAATAGAGATTGCCAAAAAGAAAGTGGCCAAAAATTCATCCACCTGGAAATATATGCTGATACGGATATACACATATTTACACATACTTCTTTTGACCAACGTGAGGTCATATTAAAAATACTATTTATGATCTACTTTAACTCACTAATGTATGACATTCAACTAAGTTTTTTTTTACTTTGTAATAGCATTCGTTTATTCATCAAACAAATATTTACTCAGCATGTCCTACATAGCAAATACCAAACTAGGTACCAGAAGACATTGCTAAAGAACACATAGCTCCTGCCTGAAACGTTTTACGCTCAAGGTGGAGCAAATACAATTAGATCAGTAACCACAATGTAATGTATTAGGAGGTAGAACAGGGCAGAATACAGGGAGGGTCTTTCTTCAAACAAGGGCAAATGTACTTCTAGAGGTTTGTGAAGATTTTCCCAGGGGTGCCTCGGCTCTCAGATTATTTTAAGGCAATTCACTTCCCGCTTCTCAACTCTCATTTGTACTTTATCTTTCAATCCGTCTGCCCTAAATTGGCAAGAGTGTGGTCAAGGTGCGTGGGTGGGGGTGTGGCCTCTGATCTTCTGCACCTTTCGCAGTAGCCTTTTCTTCCACTTTGGAGAAAGGTAAACCTCTAACCCACTGCAGTCCTACAGCATTGCAGTGTCCTGGGTGTGAAAGCCTCTAGGCTTCCAAGCAAAAGGATGATTTGAATTCTTGGCATTGGTGTTGAGAAAGTGAGTAATGGTAATGCCCCCTTAAAAGAGCGATAATTTTATCTGAGAAAAGTCATTCTAAACAGCAACATGGCCATTCAGGAAAATTTTCTTTTTCCTCCTAGCATTCCACAGAGGTTACAACTATTCATTACTGGAGCCTTATATTTTTATTGCAGAGTTGGATAGAGTGATCCATGAAAGATGTTTAAGCTTAAAGATTATTACATTAGGATAAAATTCTCTTGGTAATGTTGAATGGAATACAAGTCAAAGATAAAGAGGAATGATTCAAAATTTCCAACTGTTAAAAAAATGTATTCATTTATTCTTCAAATGGATGATGATAATCAAATTGCAATGGTATTTAGATTCCATTGGATATATTTTAAAGAATAATTCAATAATGTATGTGAAGTATCAATATTTATAATATGCAGGACATTTCTTCCTTTGTAATTACTTAATTTTATAATGAAAAATAGATGTCATCTTATAAATGTGTGAGGGAATACATAATTGTTCTAAATTCTCTTGGGGCATATATTAAAAAAAAGATAGTATAGTTCACTTGCTACATGCCTAGCTTCTGATGGCAGAAAAAATTGGATTGAGCTCTGTATCTAGGAATACCTAGTTCTATGACCTCAAGCAAGTTGCTTAATCTTTCTAAGCTTCAGTCTTTTCATCAGTAACTAAGTTGATAGTACCCACTCATGAGGTTTCCATGAAATTAAACATTTAACTGGAATGAATTTTCTCTATCACAGGAGATTCAAAATTAAACATTTAACTGGAATGAATTTTCTCTATCACAGGAGATTCAAAAAGAATCACATTATTGTATTTCTAAAATATATATAAAAAGTTAAATCTGGTTAGGTGCCCAATATCAACTCCTTTTTCTTTTAAAGAATCCCAGAAAGATGATATGGTTTTGAAAATGGAATGGGTCTTCAGTATATCAAGGCTGCCACTGGGGTCTTCAACTTTCAAGCCCACAATGGCATGAAGTATTTCTATACCTCTCTTGCCGATAATATACTCAAGTTTCTTTCGATTTGGTTTTCAAAGTTGTGACCCTTAATGTTTAGATCCAAAGGTATCCATACGTGTCACCTGCTCCCAAGAGAAGTCCTGCCATATCCAAACCTGCTGTGTTAGAGATGAGCTTTGAACCCTGCCATTTGCTAAAAGGCCATCCTCGTCTTCTTTCTCCATCTCAGAGAGGGCACACCAGGGATGAGGCTATCATTCCTCTTCAGCTCAACACTGTCATCCCTTCCTCCTCAAGGAAAATTTATCTGTATACTCTTTCATGAATCTACATTCCCCCTAAAGCTTGAAATTTTCTTCAGGGTTCCAGATTTACGCACAAAAGTTTGGCTGTCCCATCTCTAAGGATACGTGCAGAAAAGAGTTAAACATAGCAGGCCTGAGACTGCTATCCTTAGAAAGGCCTGTTTGCATGATTGGCTCTTGGCTAGTATTTAGGAACTTGGATTTCTCGAATATTCCTACCATTCCCTAACTAATAAAAGAGTGTCTCACTGTGCCTAATCTGTTTGTGCAAACAATATGGTTGATGCAGAACACATGCTTTACTTCTGGGAGTCTGGAATTTTGGCAGAGGTACAGAGTGTCTATGTGACCAGTCTCCAATCAAAACTTTGGGCACTGAGTCTCTCATGAGCTTTGCTCGTAGACAGCACTGCACATGTGTTGTCACAATTCACTGCTAGGGGAAGTAAGTCCTGTGTGACTGCACTGGGAAAGAACTCTTGGAAGCTTGTACCTGGTTTCCTTTGGACTTTGCTGCATGTGCTTCTTCCCTTTTTTGATTTTTCTTTGCATCCTTTTGCTTGAATATATATTAGGCATGCATCCAACTATCTGCTGAGTCCTGTGAGACTTCCTAGTGAATCACTCAAACTGACAGTATCTTGGGAACCCCCTACACAGGGAGGAATAAGAAAAATTACTTTTTAATATTTCCCAGAATTTCTATACCAGTAATAATAGTGAAACCAAGAGAAAAATTAGTATCTTAATGAATTACAGATATTTAAATGAAGTTCCAAGGATCATTAAACTAACGAAGGCTCCCCAGATGAGGTGACCCTTGGTAATTCCCTAAGTCCTAATGGTTAGTTGATACAGTATGGTTAGGAAAGACTTCCCCAAGAGGGAACCCTTGAGTCTAGTTTACTCTTTTTAGAGAAGACCTCTTTTTCTGTGCAATAATAGAATCCTAAGGCCATGTCCATCAGATTCCAATTGAACCTGACATCCTACGTTTTCTATAGAGTTTATCCAGATAGAAAGACAATACAAGAATGCTTTTAAAATTCTGTTAGTTTTTCTCTTTGATGTTGTTGCAGTGATTTGCTGTTTTAAATATTTTGCTGGAAACCTTTGTGTGTGTGTGCCTTAAAGCTTCAGGAATGGGCACAGTTATGGAAGTTCATTGAATAAATAAATAAAGAACAAAAAATCGTAAAGACAGTCTGGGGTATTGTTGAATTTGTGTTGTGCTTTACTAATAAGCATATCACACTTTCCAATAATAATACCAAACAGAGCTGAAAAGAGGGGATGAGCATATGGAAACATCAAATTGCGTTTTATCTCTTAGTTTCAATGGGTGAGCTGTTGCTGCATTTTGATTTTTCACCTGTGCAAATTGATATAAAATATTCAACTGCGAGCTGCCAAAATGTGGACAAAATACATAAGTCACTGCCCT